GAATGGCAAATTTCCCTTGAGATCTCCTTTAGGAGGAGGAGGATTTAGGAAATTTGAAACATTGTCCTAGTTAGCATTAAGTATTGTCCTGACACAGTCCAAAGTCACCTGGTGGGGGGGGGAGAGTCTCAACTGAATAACTTGCCTTTCTTTTTATTTATTTATATTTATTTTTCAGTTTAAATTTAGATTAGAAACAAGGTTGCTTCACAATTCAGTTCCAGGTCCCTCTCCCTTTCCCTCCCCTCCTTCCACGCCCTACCCCCTACCCACCATTATCCCTCATTTCCCCAGGGTGGGTGAGGACCTCCATGGGGGTGTCCGTAGTCTGTCATTTCATCCAGGGCAGGGCCTAGACCCTTTACCAAGAGTTCAGGGTGAGAGTGCACCTCACATTGTTGGATGGGAGTCCAAAGTCCGTGTGTATACTTGGGATGAGTACTGATCTACTGCCCAAGGCTCAATAGATTCCCTAGGCCTCCTCACTGACACCCACATTCAGGGGGTCTTGATAAGTCCCTTGCTGGATTCCAAGGCTGATGCCTTGTATTCAAGATCTAACCCTTGTCAAGTCAGCTGTTTTTGGGGGTTAAACCAGCCCAGTCTTAATCCCTTTGGTCATCAGTCCTCCCTCTCTGTTACTGGCTTTCTTGAGTTCAGCTCAGTGCTTAGCCATGGGAGTGTGCCTCTTCTTCCATCAGCCACTGAATGAAGTTTCTGTTTCCCAGACTCTCTGGCCATGGGATTGTAGGCTGGCACTCCCCAGATCTGTGTCTAAAATCCATATATGAGAGAGTACATGCCATGTTTCTCTTTTTGTGACAGCGTTATGTCACTCAGGATGATTTCTTCTAGTGTCATCCATTTGCCTGCAAATCTCAGGATTCCATTGTTTTTTTTTCTGCTGAATAGTACTCCATTGTGTAAATGTACCACATTTTCTCTATCCACTCTTCGGTTGAGGGACATCTAAGTTGCTTCCAAATTCTGGCTATTACAAATAATGCTGCTATGAACATATTGGAACAGACATCCTTGTTGTATGAATGGACATCTTTTGGATATATGCCTAAGAGTGCAGATGCTGGGTCTTGAGGTAGGTTTACTCCAATTTTTCTGAGGAATCTCCATACTGATTTCCAAAGTGGCTGAACCAGTTGGCACACCCACCAGCAATGGAGGAGTGTTCCCCCTTCACCACATCCTCTCCAGCATAAATTGTCATTGGTGTTTTTTTTCGCCATTCTGACAGGAATGAGATGGTATCTCAGGGTTGTTTTGATTTGCATTTCCCGGATGGCTAAGGAGGTTGAGCACTTTTGCAAGTGCCTCTCAGCCATTTTAGACACCTCTATTGAAAACCCTCTATTTAGTTCAGAAGACCACTTTTTAATTGGATGTTTTGGTGTTTTGGGTACTTGCTGCTTGAGTTCTCTGTAAATTTTGGAGATCAACCCTCTGTCAGATGTGGGATTAGTGAATATTTTTCCCATTCTGTGGGCTGCCATTTTGTCTTGCTGACTGTGTCCTTTGCCTCTCAGTTTCAGGAGATCCCATTTATTAATTGTTGTTCTCACTGTCTGTGCTGGTGGTGTTATTTTCAGGAAGCTGTCTCCTGTACCAATTCGTTCAAGGGTAACACCCAATTTCTCCTGCCGGGATTGGAAGCTTTGTGCAGTTCCCAGGCGATCCCCAGGCACTGGAACACAGGCCCAGAATCAGGGCCTGTTGTACCTGATGCTGCTGCCATTACAGCCGCTTCCCTGATCTCCCTGACTCCTCTATTACTTGCCTTTTTTATTTCAGGCTGTGATCATATTTGTAACAGATTGTCTTAATTGATGCAGAAGTGTCCAGGATATTGTGGGCAACAGCATCCCTAGACAGATGTCTCTGGCTTGTGTAAGAAAGTTATCTAAGTGTAAGATGGAGAGTGAGAGAGTGAGCCAAGGAGTTAGACTTCCAGCAGCACATTCTTTCCTTGACTTCATTTCTTCACTGTGAAACAAACTTTGAATGTACGTGCAAACTTTGGTCTCCTGAACTGCTTTTTCTCAGTTATTCTTTAGATCACAGCTAGAGTAAGAAATTTAGGACATCATGTAGGATAAAGCAGATGCCACCTCTATTTGATTCAATATTCTCTCTCAGAGCCCCTCATCATCCAATAGGCAGGGAAAATGAATGACTTAGACACAAGTGATTGGGCAGCAAGTGTAGGTGCAGACTCTACATTAGTGTTCTGTCCTGTGAGTATAATGAAAAATATCCTAGGAATTTCCTCTTAAATTTCCTGAGCACAAGGCTCCTCCTGAGTGAGAATACTCTTCCTCTGAATTCACTCTACTTCCATCTTTAGTCCAATGCTTCCCAGGACAAATCTTGAACCATCTCTAGACACATCATACATCAGAGAGAACTAGGAGTCCTGAAGACACAGTGATCAGGCTGACAGGCTCTGCATCCCACCTGTGCTGAACTCACCATGGTTGTTCACATTGCACTTAGCCTAAGACATGAGATTGCAGTTCTCCCATTGATACCCAAGGGGAGATATCAGGACACATACTCAACAATCATAAATTTTTTTCTCTGAATTAAGAGAGGACATTAGCTTGTTGATTGGTTTCAGTTCGTGTCCCAACTAACGCAGAGCTCCCTCTGTACACCCTGCTCTGTTCCTTGTTTGTGAGAGCACCTTTCTTCATGCGGAACAAGAAAGTCAGCTCTCTCCTGGAATCTCCCATGGGGTAAGACACAATTACACAGGCGAATCAGCTAGACAAAATACAAAGATAACCCTGGAACACATGGGCTCACCCAACACACAGGTCAGCCAACACATAATCGTGGAGTGATTCCTTGAAACAATCCATAGAAAGATGGAGCTTACAGTGCCTTCAGGCACACACAGGTCACCTCTACCCCACAGCCAGAAACATGCAATTCTCCACACAACTGCTTATGGGTTTCTCTTCTGGATCTGAACGTTGATTGGTGACATTAGTGATACAGGATTGGTCTTCATCCCTATTGATAATTCTTCTGGTCTCTTTACAACTGTCAGAAACATCTGTGTTCCTTTTCTGCTGGGATTAAGTAAGTCCTACCCTCCCAAGCATTGAGAATACTAGGTAGACTTGGTTCATAGCCCGATCTCTGTGACACCAGGCCACATAGGCAAGATGGAGGTTCCCTCTGCTGCTGACAGACCAAAGCCCAAGACACAGCAGGTGTCAGCCCTGGGATGAGATGTTGTTCTCCGAGGCCATGGGGATGCTTATCGGCATGTTGCTCAATGTGTCGCTTGGAGGAGAAACATAAAGGGAAGTTGAGAGGGATGAGTGACAGCACTGAGAACAGCAGTGACAGAGCAGAACCTAGAACACTGACTGCATATCCCACAGCACTTTGGATCCTGAAAAGTGCTCTGGCCTGGGAGGACACTCAGCTCAGTGGGCAGTCGGGTAGCAGAGACTGAGCTCCTTGCTATAGCTGAATTCTTTTCCTCAGAGGGGGGACTTCATAGTAGGAAGATAGATGGGGGTGTCCTCGGTGCTTCTCTGCAAAGCATGTACACCCTGGCAGTGGCTCCTACTCACAAGTAAGTGTACCTACTCTCTGACTGTGTAGGGAAGGGAACACAGAAGCATGTTGGCATCTCCTCAACTGGACAGGAGCCCAAGATGAGATTCAAGCTTAGAGTTATGGAGAAGAAGGTGCAGTGAGGGACAGAGGCTTAGCAGTCTGAAGCTCTCAGCCATAAGAGGATATGAGACAAGGAGAAAAGCCGCAAACACTCAGAGTCAGTCACATTGGCTGCAATGATATGAAGTCTGATGTCCCTAACCATGACAGTGTGAGTTTACAAATAGAAATTAAACAGGGTGGAACTAAGTGTGTGGAGACATGACCACCTGAATTTAATCCTGTGCTCCCACAGTTTAGATGGAGGCAACAGCCCCATGCAGTGTCTTCTCTGACTTTCCCAAGGTGCTGTGGCATGCAACCACACTTTCACACACTGGGACATTTTTCTTCACACTGATTTGTGACACATCCTTCACATGCACACATGGAGATACTCACCTCCAGAAATACACACTACAGTACAGGAGTAAATCTCAAAAATTACAATTATTGTCATTAACTCCAAATCTGGGAACTATGTACATAGTCCCAATGAGGCACTTCTGTCTGTTCTGTCCTTCCTTCCTCACTCCCTTCCTTCCTCCCTTCCTCCCTCCCTCTCTCTCCCACTCTTCATTCTTTCCTTCCTTCTTTCTTACCCCACAATTCCACTTCCTCCCATCCTTCCTTTCTTCCTGTGTCCCTCCCTTCATTCCTTCCAACCTCACTCCCTCCCTCTCATCCTTCCTTCCTCCCTCGTTCTCCCTCTCTTTCTCCCTTCCTTCATTTCTTCCTTGCTGCCTTCCCTCCATACCTCTCTCCATCCCTCCCTCCCTCCTTCCTTCCTCCCTCCCTTCCTTCCTTCTTCTTTTTCTCCTTTAGCTACTTATGTCTAATTTTTTTCCAGGAACTGAACTTTCCAAAAAAGTCAGACTAATCCTTATTCTCAAACTGCCTGCCTCTGGTGGACTTGATTTCTATGTATCTGCATGGTGAAGTCATGGATTGAATGATTCACAAAGGGGACAGAGAAACATGACAGAAAGTGAGGTACTCCAGAGCAGGAGTTCAGAGAGGCACTGCTCCTCATATGAAATACTCTGTGAGGAGGGATATGGGACACTGAGTTGGGATCTAGGCAGATACTGGAGAAGAGAATTTCTGGGAGAGTTAATGACACACTCAGACACTGTGAGTCGTTTTCCTCATGTCTGAAAAGGAGGCATACTCCTACTGCCACATCTAAGTTGAGTGATGATCACATCTTCTCAGCATTGATGTCTTTTTCTCTTCCCTTCTAGCCTCTCTTTTTACCTGCTGGCATCTCTCCACCACTGACTATATCACCATATGATCAGTTCTACCCCAAGTGGCCAGTGGAGAAAACATCCTTTTCCTTGTCTACAATCTGCCAGAGGATATTATGGCCTTTGCCTGGTACAAAGGCAAGGCAATCATGAAACATGGAATTTTGCTGTATGCACTGCACAAGAATTTAAGTGTGACAGGGTTTGCATACAGTGGAAGAGAGAAAATATTTCACAATGGATCCCTGCTCTTGTAACGTGTCACTGAGCAGGACTCAGGATTCTACACCCTACAAACCATAGATAGACATCTCGAGATTGTGTCAACAACAATCATGCGCCCTCACGTGTACCGTAAGTGATTCTTTGTGATATTCTGGGGTGTGGGTTCATTCCATTGGACACACATGTAGTGTGGCCTGTGTTCTCCTCCCTATGCACTGCCTCCACATTTTGTGGCTTGAGTATTCAGTGCATAATACACATAGTGTAGTATAATGGCAATAGATCAGAATGAGACAGGTGGACACATCGTGGGTAACTAATCCTAGGATACCTGCCTCTGTCTAGACTTTTGGGTTCCTTACTAGTAATATGTCCTTGAGAAAGACTCAGAGGGAATTAATATTGGACCTGGTAGAGGGAAATTTATGATCTTCACAGATATGTGAGAACCAAGTTGCCCTGGATTCAGATCTCTGTTCCAGAATAAACCCCTGCTAGCCCTGAGGTTCAATCATTTTACAAAGTTTGAATCTGATTTCCTGACAAAGTCCACCCTGTGTCTAAATTGAGCAAGATATCTCTCCATAGGAAATGGGCTCCAAAAATTCAGTTCATGGAATAGTGATATAATGATGATAGTCAATGCAGTAGGGAATACAATTTATTTATTTACCAGAGAGAGAGAGAAAATCAGACAAGCTGGGAATTCAAAGCAGGGCCAACTTCCAAAAGAGGGCTTCCTTCTACTTTCACTTCCATTTATACTCACCTGTGCTACTTTCCTTGTCTCTGCCCTTATTTTGTGGGCTCAACCCTACAGTGATAAATCCTAGACCCACTGCCAGTGGCCTTATAAACTGTCTTATCTAGCCAGTGTCACCTGTATTCAGGACGTTGACTTTAGTCCCATGCCGGTTCCACAGCTGACACTCCAGGTCAGTGAAGTTTCACTAGGACAGGCCAGCTGTTTCTGTTTGTTTCCCCATTATGGTCTTTGCTCATATTATCATTCTTCCCTCTCTTCGATTAGACTCTGGGAGCTTGACTCATTGATTAGTTGTGGATCTTTGCAACTGCTTCCATCAGTTACTGGATGAAGGTTTGACAATTATGATAGTCCTTAATCTGATTTCAGGGCAACACCTTTTCATTCCTCCTCTCTGATAGGGCTTAGAGTTTTATTGGGATTTTCCTTGGATATTCTTGGGAATTTCCCTATTGTCAGGTTTCTCCATAATCCCCCAATGTTTTCCTCTATGAAGATGTTTCTTTCCTTGCTCTCCTTCCCTGTCCTTCCCACAACTTGACCTTCCAGTTTCATTATGTTCTCCTCACTACTTCCCTTCCATCCTCTCCCTCCCTCCCATGCTCCCAGTTTACTCAGGAGATCTTGTCTGTTTCTCCTTGATAGGTGGATTCATTCATGTTTCACTTAGGGTCCTCTTTGTTACCTAGATTCTGTGAGGTTGTGTCTGGTTATCATTTGCTTTATGCATAAGACCTACATATGAGTGAGTACATACCATATATGTCTTTTTGGGTCTGGGTTACCTCACTCAGGATGTTTTTTCTAGGTCCATCCATTTACCTGCAAAATCGAGGATGCCATTTTTTTCCACAGAGTAGTACTCCGTTGTGTAAATATACCACATTTTCTTTATTCTTTGGTTGAGGGACATCTAGATGGTTTACAGGTTCTTGATGTTATGAGTAATGTCACTATGAACATTGTTGAGTAAATTTTCTTGCTCAACATCTTTTGGGTATTTGACCAATATTCATGTTGCTGAGTCTTGAGGTAGATTAATTCCCAATTTTCTGTTAAACCACCACACTGATTTCCAGAAGTGCTGTATAATTTTACACTCCTATCAGCAATGGAGGAGTGTTCCCCTTACTCCACATGCTATCCAGTATAGGATGTTATCAATGTTTTTCTCTTATCCGTTCTGACAGGTTTGTGGTATCTCAGATTTATTTTGATATACATTTCCATGATATCTAAAGATTTTGAGCAATTCCTTAAATGTCTGTCGGCCATTTGAGATTCTCCTGTTGAGAGTTCTCTTGTTTAGATCTGTACCCAATTTTTAAATTACATTATTTTGTATTTTGGTGTCCAGTTTCTTGAGCTCTTTGTGTGTTTTGGAGATTAGCCCTCTGTCAGATGTGGATTTGGTGAATATCTTTTCCCATTGTATATGTTGCCTTTTTGACTTGTTGGCCCTATCTTTTGCCTTACAGAAGCTCTCAGTTTCAGGAGGTACCATTTATTAGCTATTGCTCTCAGTGTCTGTGATACTGTTGTTATTTTTAGGAAGTGGTCTTTTGTGCCCATGCACTCAACGCACTTCCCACTTTCTCTTACATGAGGTTCAGTGAGGTAGGATTTATGTTGTGGTCTTTATTCCCTTTTTAGCTGAGTTTTGGGCATGATGACAGACACGGTTCTATTTGCAGTCTTCTACATATTGACTTCGAGTTATATCAGCACTATTTGCTGATGATGTTTGCTTTTTTCTATTGTATAATTTTAGCTTGTTTGTCAAAAATCAGGTGTGTGGATTAATATCATACTCTTCAATTCAATTCCTTTTGTCCACTTTTCTGGTTTTGTGCCAATATCCTAAGCTGTTTTTATTAATGTAGCTATTATGGAGCTTGAAGTCAAGGATGATGATGACACTCAAAGTTCCTTTATAGTACATAATTGTTTTTGTTACCTTGGTTTTTTGTTTTTCCATATGATGTTGAATATTTTTCTTCTGAGATCTGTAGAGAATTGTTCTTAGATTTTGATAGGGATTACATTGAATCTGTAGGTTGAATCTGCTTTTTATAAGGTTGCCATTTGTTTGCTATATAAATCCTAGCTATCCAAGACCATGGAAGATCTTTCCATTTTCTGATATCTTCTTTAATTTTATTCTTCAATGAATTAACATTCTTCACATACAGGACTTTAATTTGTTTGGTCAGAGGCATCCCAAGAGGCTTTATGCTCTTTGTAGCTATTGTGATGAATAATGTTTACTTGATTTCTTTTTCAGCCCATATATCATTTGTATATAGGAGGGCTATTGAGTTTTTTGAGTTAATTTTGTATCCTGCTACATTACTGAAGGCATTTATCAGTTTGAGGTGTTCCGTGGTAGAATATTTTGGGTCACTTACTATCTTATCATTGCTAAAAAACAAAAGTTTGACTTATTCCTTTCCAATTTGCATTCCTTGGATCTCCTTTAATTGTCTTATTGCTCTAGCTCAAACTTTTAGTAATACATTGAATAGATATGGTGAGAGTGGACAGCCTTGCCTTCTTACTGATTTTAGTGGAATGACTTTGAGTTCTCTCCATTTAGTTTGAAGTTGGATGTTGCATTGCTGTATGTTGCTTTTATTAAGTTTAGTAACAGTCCTTTTATCCTTGATCTATCCAAGACCCTTATCATGAAGGATGTTGGATTTTATCCAATGCTTTTTCAGCATCTAATGAGATGATTGTATGTTTTTTCTTTCAATTCACTTATGTGGTGTGTTACATTGATTTTTGTATGTTAAACCATACTTGCATCTCTGGGATGAAGCCTATTGATCATAGTGGATAATTTTTCTGTTGTGTTCTTGGATTTGTTTGCCAGTACCTTTTCCATTATTTGACAACTATTTTTTAACTTTTCTTTTATTACTTTAATTTTAAATAGCTTGCTTCACATGTCATCAGAGTTCCCTCTCCCTCTAGACTTCCTGCACCCACAGAATGCCCCAGAGCCTCCCACCCTATCCACACTTCCTTCCACATAGGGGATATACAGAATCTGTCATTTTGCTCAGGGCATGGTCCAGGCACTCCCCTAAGAGTGCAGGCTCAGAGAGCATCCCTCTTTTTTATGGACACTCAAAGTGCATTTGTATGTCAGGAATAAACACTGATCAACTGCCCAGGGCCCCATAGGTTGCCCAGGCCTCCTCACTGACTCTCACATTCAGAAGGTCTGGATCAGTCCCATGCTGGCCTCCTAGCTGTCGGTCTGGGGTCCAAGTGCTCCCCCATGTTCAGATCAGCTGTCTCTGCTGGTTTTGTCAGCTCATTCTTTCATTCTTTTCCTATTTGCTCATCGCCCCTCTCTCTCTGTCACTGGGTTCCTTGGATTCAGGTCAATGTTTAACTGTGGGTGTCTCTTGGCCATTTTAGCCTCCTCTATTGAGAATTCTCTATTTATTTCTATAGCCCACCTTTAAATTGGATTCTTTGGTGTTTTGGAGATTTGCTTCCCGAGTTCTTTGTAAATTTTGGAGATTAGCCCTCTGTCACATGTGGGGTTAGTTAATATCTTTTCCCATTCTGTGGACTGCCTTTTTGTCTTGTTGACTGTGTCCTTTGCCTTACAGAAGCTTTTCAGTTTCAGGAGGTCCCATTTGTTAATTGTCGACCTCAGTGTCTGTGCTACTGGTGTTATGTTCAGGAAGTGGTCTCCTGTACCAACTCATTGAAGAGTGTCTCCCACTTTCTCTTCTAAAAGTTTCAGTGTAGCTGGATTTATGTTGAGATCTTTGATCCATTTAGACTTAAGTTTTGTACAAGGCGATAAACATCTGCAGTCTTCTGCATACCTATACCCAGTTATGCCAGCACCATTTGTTGAAGATGCTTTCTTTTTCCATTGTATAGTTTTAACGTCTTTGTCAAAAATTAAGTGTTCATAGGTGTGTTGGTTAAAGCCAGGGTTTTCAATTTGGTTCCATTGGTCTACCTGCCTATTTTTCTACCAATACCAAGCTGTTTTTATGACTATCACTGTATAATAGAGCTTCAAGTCAGGTATGGTGATGCCTCCTGAAGTTCCTTTATTGTATAGCGTTGTTTTGGCTATCCTGGGCCTTTTGTTTTTCCATATACTCAAAATTAATAAACGTGGCCACAGTATTCTGAAGACTGCTCTTCTCAGATTGCCTTCAGAAGCAAAAATAAAATAAAGCGTGTGGATCAGCGAGATTGGTCAATGGATAAAGGAATTTGCTTCTTTTTCTGAGAAGCTGATGCCAATGAAACAGTAGCCATCTGAATTCACTCAAGTACTGTGTCCTGTGCCTATCCACCCACCCTGAGACTAAGCCTAATACAAACTCACACACAAATATAATATGTGAACAAGTGCAAACAATGAGAGGGAATGGAATGATTCCATACTGTGTCCCCTAACCTATGAACTTTTAAATAAATCCATGGGAATACAGGGTTTTGGGACATCATTCATTCATTCATTAATTCTGTACAGGTATCCAAGTATTTTTTCTTAGAAACTTTTTTTAAATAAGACAAATCAAGTTTAATTTATTTATTTTTTCAAGTCATCTGTTGATTATAAGCCCAAGAGGAACACAAAACAACCAAATCAGAAAGTGAAGACACAGGGTGTGTAGGAGAAGAGGTTGGGCGGGCATCAATCCAACATAAGTCCATTGTAAATGTGAGCAGGGGTTTGATGACAGTTAGTTTGGGCAATGTTGCCAACAGAAGAGAGGGAGAGAGAGATAGATAGAGAGAGAGAGAGAGAGAGAGAGAGACAGACAGACAGACAGACAGACATACAGACAGACAGACAGACAGTGTGAAGCATATAGTGGAAATGACAAGTGTTGTGAAACTGAGAACATGCAGAACCTGTGCTTATCTCCACCAAGTAGGTAGGACAGGGGGACACTCACCCACAAGCCTTAGCTGAGCAGTGGACATTACAGTTCAGGATGCTGGAACTCATCTTACTCAAATACAAATCTTCCAATCCATATGAATCTTTCTCTTCCTTCTAGCTTTCCTTTGGAGTTGTGGGCGCCATGACACATCTTCTAAGCCCACTATTGAATCAATGCCACCCAGCATTGATGAAGGGGGCAGTGTTCTTCTACTGGTTCACAATCCCCCAGAGAATACTGAAGCCTTTATCTGGTTCAAGGAGATGTCTGTGTTCAAGAAAATTGAGATTGCCCAATACATCATAGACAGGAAATCAACTGTGTGGGGGCCTGCATACACTGGAAGAGAAGAACTGTATAGTGACGGATCCCTGCTGCTTCACGGCATCACTGAAAAAGACCCTGGACTGTACACTCTGCAAATTGTGACGACAGACATGATACGTGAGGAAACACAAGTGCAGCTCCAGGTGCACAGTAAGTGACTCCCTGTGAATGCTCAGTGCTGGGTGGGGATGAGACACACAGGACTGTCGTGGCTGTGCCTGACCTCCCTTCCATCTACATTGTGTTCCCTTTTGAAGGTTTGAGAAGTTAGTGCAGCTTTCATCTTCTGAATCTAGTAGAGACAAATGGCCATAGAGCAGCTTCCATCTTCTGAATCCATCTCCAGCAAGGAAGCCCTCGATGGAAAGTCACTCAGCCTAAGATGTCAGAGTCAGCACAGTGTCTTGGGGATCTATTCCAGGGAGCACTGAATCCTGTCATCTTTCCAAGGCTGGACTAAAGTGACCCAGCAGAAACCTTTCTAGTGTTCTACTATTACATCCTCTCGAAGCTGATAGGGAACAATGGTTTTAGAACATCCATGTCAAACTGGGGTATTTATTAGTTCAAAATTGAGAGTGTCATAAATCAAATCCACTAACTGGTACAGCGAGCATGAAGGGGTTCTTCCTATTGGCATGCTGTTCATGCCTGCTCAACCAGCTCTCTTATATCATGCAGGACTCGTAGTCCAGGGCCTGAAATGCATGCATTGGTCTGAATTATTTTGCATTAAACTCCAATTTAAAAAAACTGTATTACAGTTTTGCCCATGGGCCAATCTGGTAGTGGCATTTTTAAATGTGGCTTTGTCTTGCAAAATAACTATAGATTGTGTCAAGGTGACATAAAACCAGCCAGTCTAGCACACAGGCATTTTAAAGCCCGGTGCCTGCCTTGAAGATCAGATGACTCCCAGACACCACAGTGCCCCAGACTTTAGACTGGGAGCTACTTGACAGAGCAGCAAGCACATCTGTTGTAAAGACATGGGTCGAATGTTTCCTAGGTTGAAACAAACCTAGGAAGTGAACGTTCCAGGCTTCTTGAATTCATGGGGAAGTAGCATCTCAAATTGCAGTGTTTATGATTGTGTGCAATGTCTGACTGAAAGCACTGAGGGAGCATCCATGGAGCCCCCCACGGGGACAGATCCATGCAGAGGAAATGACACTTTCAGGGGCAATGTTGGAAAGGAGGAGGTCATGTTTCTGTACTGAATTAAGTGAGTTAGTCACACCTGCAACTCTAGACTGAGGAATCCATGTGTTCCAGATGGAGGGCACCATCTATTCACCAAGAACAATGATCATCATGTAATGGCTTTTTATGCTTTTCCCTTCCAGCCCCCCTTTCTCCATGCTGTATGCTTACTTCTTCACAACTCATGATCCATTCAGTGCCTCAGTATGCTGCTGCAGGGGGAAATGTACATTTCCAAGTTCACAATCTTCCAAAACACGTGAAAGCCATTTCCTGGTACAAATTGGTAAATAGCTACCAGGTCCTCAAAATTGTTGAATACAGCAAAATCACGACTTCTACCTCCTGGGGGCCTGAATACAGAAGAAGAGGAACAATGCACCATGACGGATCACTGATGCTCGAGGATCTCACTGAGAAAGATGAAGGAATATACACACTACAAATTTTAAAGAAAGATTTGAAAATTGAAAAATCATTTGTGAAATTTTACATGAGGAGTAAGTGACTATTGTCTAGAGTTTCTGGGTGTGGCCTATCCCACATCATACTCTTAACTGTCAGATTGGACGATGCCTCTCCTCTCCCCTACTGCATTGTGGCTCCCACTGTGGTTTGGCCCTCACTTCAAGATACACTGTGGGTATAGAAGCTGCAATAGATGAGGACATCTCACCTCTCTTTACCTGCAGAGAGGAGGACCTGTGCTGGGATAGCCAGTCCAGATGCCACCTGCATCTCTGACATTTGAAGCGCTCACCATGCACATGTCCTCAGAAATACTGTGGGAGTGACACATTCCCTAGCAGATGAAGCTATGAGGTCCTAACAGAGAGCATCAAGGAGCTATGACCCCACAACTTTGCCTCTCGTTGGACTCAAGGTGATGCTGGAGAGCTTCTCAAAACTGTATGTTTTGAATTCCTGTCAGAGTCACTAGGGAACAAGGCTGTACTGCCTGTAGATGTCATGTTACTGATTAGCCCATAGAGTTCAGTTTCAGCTGTGTACTGCCATGACAACTGCAGTTGGGTGGGTCATCTTTGCCATTGTTTCTCCTGAGGCTGAGTGGACAGGAGACTGGGCCATTAGTCTATTGTTCTGATGAGCTCATGTGACTTCACAGGAAGGTGAAGGCACCAAGGGAAGAAACAGAGGAGGCAGCTTCTTTAGATTCCACTTTCTCCTTAGGGGTCCAATCTAGGGAAATTTCTACTGCATGTACATGTTGAAAGATGCTGCTGATGTGAGCAGCTCCCCATCCCAACCTTAGACCAGTGCTCATAATTAAGCTCATCTCATGGATATGGCAATTGCCATTCACTGTGTGTCCTATTTAGGAGAAAATGAAGTACAGGAAACAGACAAAATTAGAGTCACACATCCCTATGTGGCACATCCAAAGTACAAGATATGTCTATAGCCACAGCTCCAAATTCACCCTTTGGAAGTTTTGTAAATTATCAACTAACACCGGACCCGGTTGAACTCTTTGAGCTGCTGTCATTTGGTAACCTCCTTTGTTTCTTCACAGAGAATTTGGCACAGCCCTTTGTGCAAGTCACTGATACCACAGTTGCAGGACGAAGATCTGTGATCTTCACCTGCATTTCACCTGATGCCGATGTCTCTATTCACTGGATCTTCAATAACCAGAGTATGCATCACCTAGAGAGGATGACTCTGTCCCCAACTAAGTGTGGATTCCGAATAAATTCTTTCATGAGTGAGGATGCTGGAGAGTATAAGTGTGAGGTCTCCAAAGGAGTCAGTTCACAGACCAGTCTCCCAGTCTCCTGGTCATGATGAGTGAGTGACCTCTCCTCTCATTCTGCAGTAGAGTGCTGGCAGTTCTTTATCAATGGAGTACAAAATGGAGAATAGCTATGAGATAAAAATAATCAGTTACTACTCACATACAGTCAGCATGGCGATTTGCACTGATAATCCTGGTGTCCCTGTCTGTATAAGTGGAGGCCAGGATTTACAGTGAGGTTGTCTTAAAGGGAACATAAAGACATCAATATGGAAAGCAAAAGTTCAAAGTGCCACTGCTGGAAGACTTTTGTTGTTATAGAAGATGGCTTCTTCTGACAATCTACATCTCACTACTAGAAGTTGTTAGCAGTGTTACCTTTGTAGATTTCAGGGAGTTCCTATTGTAGTAGTTTTCCACATTGCTCACAAAATGCCCCTACCATTCCTCTTCTCCAAGTACTCTCTCCTCCAATCTCAGGTCTCCCACTCTTTCCTCTTGTTGCCATTCACACATGCTACCAGCTCATCCACAAAGTCTATTCTATTTGTTCTTTCTGGGGAGATCCATGGGTGCCACTGGAGTCTTCATTGCCACTTAGATTCTCTATGTGTGTTACTAAATATGGAGTCTAATTGTTTGTGTGCAATAGTAATTTACATAAATAGAGCTCAGATGTGGGTGCTTGTTCACCAGTTTTAGAAACGTTTGTGGAATCTTTGGGACTTTCCAAAAATAACTTTATGCCATCTATGGATTTATTTTAAAGCCAATTAACTGGAAGCCTTATATTTATTTGTTTTGTCTATTTGTTCTGTCTAGGTCTTCTAAGGGAATACTGAAGAAACATGGCGACTTCAGCATCTTTGTGTCAGTACTGGTCTTAGAGGGAATGTTGTAGTGTCTCCTGTGAGTCTGGAGTTGGCAGTGGTTTTTCTCAAGTCCTCCTGCTGCGGCCGTCTATTTTCTACCCTTAGTTTGCCTGTTTTCATCATTACAAATTGTTCACTTTTGTCAAATTCTTTATCGATTCAGTCTTATGAGTGATAAATCGTATTAGTTTTTGTTTCTTTTTCTTTCATATCTGGAGGATCTGTGTTTCTAGGTATTTGTTTTGTGTATGTCATTCTACAATTCCCCATCACTATTGAGTAGTCATGGAAATTTTAGTAATCTTAAACGTGGACAGCAAGTTCTCAAGTTTCAGTTGTAGTGGTAAAAAATTATTCCATTAAAAACAAAGTTAATCTCATTAGAGTTTGTTAATGCCATTAACCACTTTGAAGAAGGAACATTTTCAAAATTTAAAATAGTTTCTTTTCTCATATAATATACACTGTTTGTAGTTTCCCCTTTTCTCAATCATTCCTAGTTTCTTCCCAAACCTCCTCATTGGGTTGTCTACTCCCTTTCTTTCTGTCTTTAGAGAAGAATGGTCCTTTAAGAGATAAAAGGGAACATGAGAAAATAAATATAATAAGATGATCCGCAGACTTCCACATTGGAATTGGACCCTGGGAACCAACTGGAGCAAAAAAGCCCTAAGAGAAGGCACAAGAGTCAGAGCCACTTATCATCAGAGAAAGGTGCCTCACAAAATGCCAATGTAATAGCTATAAAATACAAACAGAGGACCTGGTCCCATCTCATGTAGGCCTATCCATACTGGTTCAGTTTCTGTGAGTTCACATGTGACTTGCTTAGTTGATTCACAAGGCTTTGTACTCCTAGTGTTCTCCATTCCCCTTGGCTCTTACACTCTTTCTTGCCTCTCCTTCTGAAGGCTTCCTTTACCTCTGAGGGGATCAGTCTGATGGAGATATCGTATTTAGACTGTCAACATTGTAAGTGTTAGATTTCTGTAGTGAAAGGTGTCCTGGCCATGGGAAGCCAGGAAATGCCTGCAGGTATTTCAGATCTGAAGGAAGCCAGTCAATATGTGTATGTGTTACAGATCTGAAGGGAAAGTTATCCTGGCCACTGGAAACAAGGCAATACCTGTAAGTGTTAAAGCTCTGAAGGGAAAGGTATCTTAGAGATCTACCTGCCTCTGCCATGTGTCAAACTTACTGGGGCCTGTATACAATGGCAGAGAAGCAATGTTCACCAGTGGATCTTTGGATCAGAGGAATACATGATTTTTAAAGTGTTTTATTTCATTTTTTGCCCGCATTAGGGTTTGGATGCACCCAGTGGAAACAAATGATAATGCTGGAATCTTTTGTGTGAATTTGTCATGGTGAGAGTAAGATGTGTGGTGGGGTAATTCATCCAAAGGATCAGAACAAGCTCATATTGTGTGCATTTCAACATAAATGTAGCCGCAAGAAAATCTTGTGATACAGGAAGAGTGTGCCTGAAGGAACTATAGAATCTTACTAGAGGGGAGATCCCCCGATCAGGACCTCCTGGCTTTAGATTGCTGTCCCAGATTCCTGACTCCAGGTGCTCTGGGTTGCTTGGGCAGGCTAAGAATCTTGCCTATTAGGGTTAGCAGACTAGAATAATCTATCAGCTTTCTGAAACTCCTAGTTCATGGGACGAGGCAGTTTTGCTATGAGAGTCACAGTTAGGCTTGGTCACCTGGGCATATCATTCTGAATCTCAGCACAGACAGGTGCCCAGTACCTCAGCCAACTGCTCTGATGCTTCAACAAAGGAAACTCTGTCCATGTAATCCACCATATAAGTAACCTGAAAGAGAAAAAAACCACATGGTCATCTCATTGGATGCTGAAAAAGCCTTCGACAAAATGCAATACCCTTCTTGATAAAGGTCTTGGAGAGATCAGAAATACAAGGAACATTCCTAAACATAATAAAAAGGCAATATACAGTAAGCCAGCGGCCAACATCAAACTAAGTGGAGAGAAACTCAAACAGATCCCACTAAAATCATGACAAGATAAAGCTGCCCACTCTCTCCACATCTAGTCTATAAAGTACTCGAAGTTTTAGCTAGAGCAATAAGACAAAAGAAGGAGATAAAGCTGATAGCAATTGGGAAGGAAGAATTAAAGCATTCACTATTTGCAGATGACATTATAGTACAGGTAAGTTCTGTGAAAAATCTACCAGGACACTCCTACTGCTGATAAACACCTTCAGTAATGTGTCAGGATACAAGATTAACTCAAAAAATTCAGTAGCCCTCCTATATACAGATGGTAAAAAGGTTCTGGTTGTAATCAGAGAAACATCACTCTTCAAAATAGCCACAAATAACTTGGGGTAACTCTAACAAAATATGTAAAAGACCTGTGCGAACCAAAGTTTTAAGAAATTGAAGAAGATATCACAAAATATAAAGAAATCTCCTTCTATGCTCTTGGATAGGTAGGATCAACATAGTAAAAACAACAATCCTGCTAAAAGCAATATACTGATTCAATGCAAACCCCATCAGAATCTCAACATAGTTCTTCACAGACCTTGAAGGAACAATTCTCAACTTCATATGGCAAAACAAAACACACAGGAGAGCCAAAGGAATGTTGTAAAATAAGGTAACAGGGGGGGACTCATCATCCCTGATGTCAAGCTCTGTTATAGAGTTACAGTAATAAAAATAGGTTGGTACTGGCCTAGAAATAGACTCCTGGATAAATGGAATCAAATTGAACACGCTGATACCAATCTACACACATTTAATTTTATAGTCTTTTAATATTTTACCTTTTTTGTTACTTTAATTTTTACATTCCAATCTTAGTTTCTCTTCCCTCTCTTCCTTCTACTCCATCCATGCCCCTCTCCTTCCTTCTGCTCTACAGAGAGTGTAAGGCCTCCCAAAGGAAGTCTACAAAGTCTTTCCAGTAATCCAGTAGAAGGGAGACCAAGGAACCTATCCTCCACCATACTCCTGTGTCTAGGCTATGCAAGGTATCTCTCCGTATAGAATTAGCAACACTAAGTCAGTTTGTGCATTAGTGTTAGATCATGAACCCACTGCCAGTGGCCTCATATATTGTCCAAGTGACACCATTGTCACCTACATTAAGAGACTCTAGTTTGGTATTGTGCCAGTTCCCCATTTGTCAGACCTGAGACAGTGATATCTCATGGTCTTGACTCTTTGTTCATATTAACTCTGCTCTTCACTTTGATTATACTCTAGGAGCTTGGTCCATTGGTTAGTTGTGGATTTTGCATCTGCTTCCATCTGTTTCTGAAAGAATGTTAAAGCTTCTCCGGGGTTATGGAGTGTAGGCTGGGTATCTTTTGTTTTATTTCTGGTATCCAAATGACTACATGCTATATTTGTCTTTCTTGTTTTGAGTTACTTCACTTAGGCTGGTTTTCACTAGTTCTGTCCATTTGCATGCGAATTTTAGGAAGTCATTGTTTCTTACTCCTTAGTAGTACTCCATTGTGCAAATATACCATATTTTCTTTATCCATTCTTCAGTTGAAGGGTAACTAGTTTGTTCTAAGTTCTGGCTATTACAAATAATGTTGCTATGAACATAGGTGAGCAAATGTCCTTGTGGCAACACCTGTTTTTTTTTAAAGAAGCCATAATTGTACAATGGAAAATAGAAAACATCTTCAACAAGAGGTGCTGGCATAACAGAATGTCAACATATAGAAGACTGCAAATATATCCATATCTATCACCATACACAAAATCAAGTACAAGTGGATCAAAGATACTGACTGAACCTGATAGAAGACAAAGTGTTAAGTGGCCTTGAACTCATTGTCGCAAGAGTCTACTTCCTAAATAGAACACCAGTTGCACAGACTCTGAGACAAACAATTAATAAATGGGACCTCTTGAAACCGAAAAGCTTAGGTCAGACCAAGATGACAGTAAATTTACACTGCAACCTACAGGATGAGAAAAATATCTTCACTAACCACACATCAGACAGAGGGCTTACCTCCAATTAGATATCAAAATAACAAATAATCTAGTTAAAAATGGGTACAGACTTAGGGCTGGAGAGATGGCTCAGCCATTAAAGGCTAGGGTCACAACCAAAAATATAAAA